GGGGGGGGGGGGGGGGGGGGGGGGGGGGGGGGGGGGGGGGGGGGGGGGGGCACGCGTATTTCGTGGGTCTTCTCACGACGAAACCCTCGCATTTTGGTTGCGGTTCGTCTAGGGGGAGGGCGTTTTTTTTTCTCCTTTTACTCAAGACGAAATTCTTGTTTTTTGTTTTCGTGCTCGTGCTCGCGTTGTTCAGGTGCAAGGCGAGATCCGCACGACTGTGGAGTACTTGGTGCAGCTTCTGGAGACGCCTGAGTTCAAGGAGAACAGCATCGACACCTCTTGGCTGGACGGCCTCATCGCTGCCAAGGTGTGGGTTTGTCCGTCAGTACCCCTCCTCAGCGAAATAGGACGTTTTGGGGCTTGACGCCGCTAGAATTGTGAAGTTTGGTTCAGTGTTGGCGTAAACTTTGGTGTTGCGAAGGCAGCCCTTAGTTTACCCTGTCTCGGTGTGTGTCTTGCCTCTAACTTTTGCTGTACCTGTTTCTCTCGATACCTTATCTCTGCCTCCCTCTCTCTCTGCCTTGTCATTTTCGTTTCCGCACTGTCTTGGTGGTTTTTGTCGGTCACGATGTGCATCATTCCCATCTATCGACCGACCAAAACACAACAACGAGCAGTCGGTGGGAGTGGAGTTCGAGGCGCACTCTGTGGTGACGTGCGCAGCTCTCTACAAGGCCTTCACTTTCTGCAAGCAGGAGATGAAGCGCTACCTCGGTCAGCTTGAGAAGGGACAGGTGAATTCGAGTCCAATTGGTTCGAGTCTCATGTTGACATGCGGATAGCGAATATAGGTACACGTGCATACGTGTGTGGTACTAGAGAGCTGTTCGTTCAAGACGCATCGAAATTTTTTTGCACATGTTGCATGACACGTATCGTCTTTTGTTTACTTCTCCCAGCGCTTGGAGTCGACCCGCGTTTTTTTCCCACCCACCTCACACATACACCCNCCCCCCCCCCCCCCCCCCCCGATAAAATGCCGCGGCAACGCACGCGCCCTGCGATTGGCTCCCGTTCGGCGAGTAGACCGGTCTGATCGGGCTGAAGGGCATGAACAGGTTCCCCGTGGAGATCTCGTATGAAGGAGTCAAGTACTCCTTCACCGTACACAGGCAGGCGCCCGACGCCTTCACGCTCTCCATCAACGGGCAGGTTTGTTGGTTGTTTCGTCTTTTCCTTATTTTGCATGTTGACTTTTATTTTTTTGTTTTTCTGAAGCAATTTTGTCTCGCCGGTCTCATGACTGTTGTTGGTTTTGTTTTGTCCGTGTTGTTGGGTGTCTGTTGCGAGTGGGGGGTTGATTGTCTTTGAGGATGGAAGCACCGGTTTTCTTTGGTACGTCACACGTTGTTGTTGATTCCTCGGTTGCGTGCTACAGTGTGCTTTGTTCTGCAGGTTCGCTACTTGAGACTTTCGTTGTTTTTGGAAGCCACGTCCCCCTCACACCCCCGCCCCCGCCCCCCCCAAATGAAGACGCCTGTGCTGTTTTGCCCGCATCCTGTCCGTGGTCCCCCTCCGTCGTATTCCTTTTCCCTCGCCGGCCCTCTCCAACATTGTTTTTTGTAGGACTTCCCCGTGAAGGTGCGCGAACAGAAGGACGGACGCCTGATCGCCAACTTCCAGGGAACGAGCCGCCTCATCTTCGGGCAGGAGGAGGCCATGGGCCTGCGGCTGCAGCTCGACGGAAAGACCGTGGTTCTTCCCAACATCTTTGACCCCAGGTACAGCAGCCGGGGGGCCCTCTACGTTGTGCGGGTGATATTGGCTGGCACAGATTGTATTGTGAATATAGTTCGTAGGTTGAATAGTGCGCGTGCGGCTCTACGGCAAGACCGTGGTTCTTGCCCAACATCTTTGACCCCAGGTGCCATATTAGTTGTCGATGCATACATGCACCAAACGCCCTGTTTCCCTCTCTTTACGGCGCTGTGCGTGGGTGTGTTTGTTATACGCATCGACCGCGCTAACCGGCGGACTGATGAAGCGACGTGAGGCTTTGTGTGTGTTTATGTGTGTTTTTTTTGTCGTCCAAGCGTTGTCTATTCAGACTTTTCTCTACAAGTCCGTCGTATATGTGCTTGGATTTTTGTCATGGTCGGAGAGGTGTTGATTCATACCCCAGGTTTGAATGCACCCTCGATTGTTTTTAGCTAAATGCGGTGTAGCAAGGAGTTTTCTCCTTATCCCTTCTTCCTTTTGAACGAAGCCTGCCTGACGCTCTCTCCNCCCCTCATCCTCTCTTCTTTTTCTTTTCTCGTCAATCCCCTAAATTATCAGCGAGCTGCGGTCGGACATCACCGGAAAGGTCGTCCGGTTCCTCCAGGAGGACGGCGCGGACGTTGCCGCCGGGGAGCCTTTTGTGGAGGTGGAGGCGATGAAGATGATCATGCCGCTCAAGGCCACCGAGTCCGGAAAGATAAACCACGAGATGTCCCCCGGATCCATCATCGCAGCCGGGGACCTCCTCGCCTCGCTGCAGCTTGCGGTGAGTGAGGGGGTATTGGTGTTTTTGGTAGGGGGAGCGAAGGGAGATTGATATTGATTTTTTTCTTCGTATACTGCTGTGTTTTTGCGGTGGATGAGGGACCCTTGGGGCGGGGAGTTAGCGTTGGACACACATGGCGCGTGTGAAGCCCACAACAACAACATGCAAGAACCGAATCCTTACCGTTGCCGCTTGCTGGCCGTGTATCGGTGTTGTTATCGGCGTTGCATGGATCGATCAGGACCCCTCCCGCGTGAAGAAGATCCTGCCCTTCACGGGGCAGCTGGACCTCAAGACCGCCGATGCCGACGCTGGTGACGATGTCGACAGCATGATCCAGAAGCTCGACATGGCCATGCAGGTATTTGATTTGACTTGCTTTTCTAGCCTCTTGACTGGTTGGATTATGTTGTACATGGCCATGCAGGTCATGTGTTGAGCCCCTTGGTTCGATTGTATGATGTCGTGTTGTTGGAAATTTGTCGTTCTTTATTTGGAATCGATGCAAGGTACATGTAGGTTAACATTGTTGCATGTTTGTTTGTGCCATGCACAACTAACTTCGTCACAGGTGTTTTTTTTTTTCTTTTGGTCCATGGGTGTCGTCTCTCGTCTATCGTTGACGTTGTTCTTTTGTTTTTGCTCTTGTTGTATTGTTGTCATGACGTCTCAGGGCTTCGAGCTGGACTTCGAGCCCGTAGTGGCCCGGCTGTTCAACGTGTGCGAGGACGCGGCGAAGCTCGACCACGCCGTGCTCACCCTGGTGCAGAGGTACCTGTCTGTGGAGCTGCTGTTCGCCGGCAAGGCTAACGAGGACGCGGTCATCGCCGACCTCATCAAGGCCCACAAGGACGACCCCGAGGTGGGTTTTTGTTGGTGTTATGCTTGTTGCTCCTTTTGTTGTTGTTGTTCGAGTTGGCGCTCTTGGTTTCCTTTTTGCGGTAGGTGACGTATCCCAAACTTTCTCGCATTTTGTATTGGAGTATTACGAAATCGCGGTGTAGTGACACCTGCACCTGGCTCTGTTTTATTTTCTTTTTCCGCGATCGCCGGTACTGATGTTTCTTTCGTTCGTTAGTTTGACCCCCGAAGTTCTCTCGCACTCACGAACTTGCCCTATTCCGTTGCTGCTTGTTGCTGTTTTCTTTTTCCCACACCATCACCACATGGATAACAAAAAACAGTTTGTGGTCAACACGGAGCAGGCTCACCAGGCCCTCCCGTCGCGCACCCGGCAGCTGAACTCTTCTCTCCGCGCTCTCCTGCGCTTCGCCGACCAGACCGGCGAGTGGCGCCCTAGCGAGGAGGTAAATCAAAGCGGATTTGAGGGGCGGCGGGACGCTTCCGTAAATTCATGCCAAAGTCGGTAGATCGTTGACCTCGCGCCCCTGCAATGCCGAGGCGGAGCGGTATATATGCCGGATTTTCGCGGGAAGGCCCAGGCCGCAGCACGCTTGACAAGGATGAACCAGAAGCCGGTAATCATCTTCGCGTTTGCTGTGCCGGACCAGATATGCCATGGGTTGAGTGTACGGGGGGCAGTGGTGTGCTGCTGATTCATCGAACGCGCGCCCTCGCGGTTTGAGGATGCTAGGATAGAACGGCATGAGGATGCTAGGATAGGATAGTCTGCATGCAGGGAATAGTAGACAGCATGGGGAGGTTGCGTTGAGTGTGGGGAGCTTGCTCTTTTTTGTCTCCACCGTGAGCTTTTAGCTTGAGTCAAACGTGGAGGGTGGGTGGGTCATGCATGACACGTGGTACGCAGCGCTGATGAGTGCCGCGTGTCTGCTGCTGCTGCTGCTGCTGCTGCTGCTGCTGCTGCTGCTGCTTTCTCTATTTGTTCCCCCTGTTTCTGTTCATGCAGCTGTCGGCGGGCTTGGAGGCGTTGTCGAAGCTGGAGGGACAGATCTACGGAGAAGTGTCGATTGAGGCGGGCAACATCCTCCGCTTCGCCGAGGCCGCTCCCTTCGAGGGACGACTGTCTGCTCTCCGCAAGGTAGTCCTACTTACCTTGCTGTCTATCTATCTGTGTTCTTTCTGCCTGTCTGTCTGATTGCCCCTCTGTCCACGCATCGTTGCGCAGCTACCGTAGGTTCCATAAGATATCACACTTCCTTGGACCTGCGAAAATCGGTCCAAGGGGTGTGATATTTATCTTATTCATTTGTCACTCTTGCGTGAGTCTTTCAGTCGATCTCTGTTTTTTTTTTTTTCACGTTTATTTCGACTCGCTCCTCTTCTTTTGTTTTTCCAGTTTTTTCCACCCGTGTTTTCGACTTGCTCATTCCGCGTCGGACAACAGCTAGACAATCATGTCAAATTTCCTCATTTCGGTTTCTAAACTACTCGCTGCCGTCTTTTCGCTGCTGTATTTGTTTCACCTTGGAGGGAGCTCGGGCCTGTCTGCTTTTTTTTTTGTGCTTGATTCTCTCCGCGCTGGACAGCAGTACAACAGTATTTGTCAACTTTCTCAAATTTGCTTGCTGACTACGTTCTGCCTGGTCGTGTTGTTTTACTCCTATTTCAGGAGCTCGGGTCGGTCAGCCCCGCCCAGCTGGCCGGTTCTCCATCCCTCTCCGTCGGTGTGGACCTGCTGACGTCACTCTTCAACGATGAGGACCCCGCAATCCGGTATGCGCTACTGCTGTCTGGTTCTCCCTTGTGTGTCTTGCGTTTTGCTACCTTGCGTTTTTCATGGAGCGTCGGGATGTGCAGACTTTGGTATGCTCCGCAATATCCCGTCGTGTACAGGTATGTGTGTGCTTTTTGTGACCAGCCATCTTCTCGTGAATTGAGCACGTGTTGTTTCACTGCTCTTACGTGTTTGTTTCACATTTACAGGACGTCTGGACAGGTTGTATGGTTCAGGACGCGTTGCTTGCAGTGATTCCTGCTATATATTATTATAGCGCAACGCCGAAATCGACAAGCATGTTGTGATCCTTCTTTGTGGCTTGTCTATGGTGCTGCAAACGAGCCGCACGCTCCATTATACGCACGCCCGCACCCCTTCGATTGATTCTTGAGACGCGATGGACAAATGCCCGCACATGGACTTCTTTTTCCTGTTGCAACGAAAAAATGATGGAATTCTAACCGAGCTACTCGCGTCTTTGGCTAGAGCGTTGCAGTCGACTAGCCCGCTTTCGCACCATGCTACCTTGTCAAGATAAAAAACTTATTTTAAAGGCCGCAGGGACGGAAAACGCGGCGTTCGACTGCGACGCTGCAGCAAAAGACGCTAGTGTAGCCGTCCCACCTCATATTTGACCTTACCCGTCCGTTGGCCCTGGAACTGAAATCAATGTGCGCGTACATATGCACGGGTGGAAAACACAGCTACACAATTAGAGGTTCCAGTTCAGTGTGGGTATGTGCCTAGAAAACTCCCCGGCACTATATCGTACACCGGCCCTATTCAACCGGCACGAAACAAGGACCTTTTCTACGGACATCTTTGACCATGCTGTTGCGGTCGAACGCCGCGTTCTTCGCCCCTGCGGCCTTACCAAGAATATGAATTATTTGAAGTTGTATTTTTTACATGTTAACATTGTTATTTTTGTCGAGGGCATCGGTGTGGAGAACGCGGCGTTCAACTGCAACGCCGCAGTCAAAGGCGTCAGTGTAGCCCATCCGCCTCATACTGCCTCGTTTTCTTGGTTGCAACAGGAGCATGAATCGATGCGGGTCTGTACGTACGTGTGTAATACGTATTATCGCTACCCACGTGTTTGCCTGCGGCGTGGGTGTCGAAAAGGGCACTTTCGATCCATGCTGCCGTCTCGAAAAACTTTTGAGACGGGCGCAGGGACAGAGAGTGCGAGTTTTTCGACTGCAACGCTGCCACGAAAGGCTTGCGTGGCTACGTATTCCGCGTCATATTATGGTGGGAACAGGAACATAAATCGATGTGGTGATACGTACGTGAGAGATGTGGTGTTGTAGCTCCGCGAAGTGTGCTTGTCCTACTCTGCTTTTGTCAGTTATTGCCTGAACCAGCAGTTGGAGGCGCGTCATTCATGAAAGCTACGTTTCCCCTGTGAGCCCTGTACTTTTTTGTTTTTTGTCGTTATGAAGAGCAGCGGTGCTGGAGACGTACAGTGCGTCGTGTTCGCGTTGATCATGACAGCTGTACTATAACGCAGTGTTTCCCCTTGCTTACCCCTCAACTCTTGGTTTCCTGATCCTCTTTCGTTGCCTAAAACTCTCTTTTTTTTTTATCTGTTTCGTTTTGGTCTCCTCTCGACAGTGCGGCCGCGCTGGAGACGTACATGCGCCGGGTGTACCGCGCTCACGAGATCCTGGACATCTCGGTGGACACGAGCGGGGCGGAGATGGTCGTGGACTGGTCCTTCCGCTTCAGGGACACTTCCCCGGACGATTCGCCGGTAAGTAAGCCATTGGATGTTACATGGAACCCCATCATGTCGCTGTTGTTGTTGTTTTCACATTTACAACCGTTGCGTTCTCTCTGCCCAGTACCTTATTCTGTCCGTACTATTTTGACACTTGACGGGTTCGATTCCCGTGGTCACAGGCTAACCTACCCGAAAAAATGCACACGAAAATAAGCTGTTTGAATTTTAGGGTTGTCCAGCAAGCAAGCGCGCTGCGGCTAGCCGGTAGTAAGTCTGCGACAGCTTTCTCTCCATCGCTGCCGCCCGCTCCTCCCTGAATTCCTTTCGTCCATTCACGACCCCCCGCTTCTTTGATTTTTTTTAATATTGTTTTCTAAAATGAGAAATGATCACGAAACGGACTCATAAACGAAACCAAGATCCGCTTTTGAAGTCTGTTGTGATTGTATAAAATATGTAGTATTTTATATTTTTCTGTACAAGTAATTGTGGTAACTACTGAAGTTATCGTGCAACGGACGTATACATAAATATCGGGAAAAAAATCAGATCCGCTACGGGCACCTCTCCGTGCTCCCGGATATGGCGAGCCTGACCAGTGAAAAGGTGGCGGAGCTGACCAAGATCATCCAGGACGTGAAGGACGCGGACACGGGCAAGGGCACAGACGGGGAGGCGGTCAACGTCCTGCACGTGGCCCTTATGAAGGTGCGTGTGTGCGTGCGTCCGGTGGCGGTTGATGATTGGTGATTGGCTTGTTGTTTTGTTTCCGCCGCTAGCGGAACGCTGGTGGCTGTTCTTTCTGTGGTCCTGTGGTTGTCTGGTGTTGATGTTGCTATTGCTGTTGCTGTTGCAGTCGTCGCCATCGTTGTCGCTGATGCGAGCTCCCTGGTGCTGATGTTGAATTGAGGCTTTTAGAGAGTGCTCGGGTTATTTTTTCTCTTTTCGTGCCCGAAGGCTGCTTGGTCAAGACTTCGCACGTCGCTGCGATGACTCGTAACACCGGCAGATGTTTTCACTCACGCCGGAGGGTGCTTCTCTCTGTCAAGACAAAGACTGCCCCGTCTTTTGCCCTCTTCCAGTTAGACTGTCCTTGTGTGAAGCAAACAGCGGCTGGCTCCCTTTGTAGGACTGTTTGGTACGATCTCCCCTCATGATCGCGTCCTCCCCCCGTGTATGTCGCCCGCACCCCATATTTAATGAATCGCTTAACTGGGACTTTCTCCCGTGTTTCTCTCGACCCGGTTTTGATATCCCACCTGTAGTCGAATGTTTCCCACGTATTTATTATTTATTTATTTTTATTCTTCGTTGTTGTTCCTGGCGTATCGGTATCATTTTCCGTGCTACCGTATTGTATCGTGTCAAGTCTCCGGAGTCGATGGCGCACGAGGAAGGTGCCGTCGCCGACGTAATCGCCCAATGCGAAGCCGTCTTCCAGAGGAACCAGGCCGCCCTCAAGGTATGTAACGTAGCTTGACGACGGTAAGACCGTCATCATGTTGTATTGCTGGCCTGCTGCGTCCCTTTGGCTCAAAGCATGGTGTTTCTCGCTGAACTGCCGTGTCGCTTTATGTCATGGCGTGGTGTTTTTTGCTCATCTGTGTTCAAATGCTCACGTGTTTTGAGATTCATCTCCGCGTCCTTGCCGCCTGTCCGCTATTTGTGACGTTGATGATGAAATGTTGTCCCTCCCGGCCTCGGTACCCCCCCTTTTCGTAACCCCGCAACCTCACTCTCTCTCCCTTCTCGCCCCTCTCGCCCCTCTCGCCCCCACCCCGCCTTATCTTTCTCTCCTGACGCCTCATAACTCTATATACTCCTACAAAATATAAAAAACTATTAACAAAAAACAGAACGCCGGCGTGCGCATGGTGAGCCTCCTCTTCCAGACCGACGGCGCGAGGCAGCCCCGCTACCTCTCGTTCCGAGAGTGCATGGACTACAAGGAGGACCCCGTCCGCCGCGACATGCGCCCGTCCTTCCCCTACATCTTCGAGCTGGGCCGGCTCGACGTGAACTACAAGCTCGAGCGCCTGCCCACCGTCGGCCGCAACAGCCAGGTGAGTGAGGTTGCGGTGATGAAGGCATGCGTGTGTTGATTTGGTTCCGGGATGGCATGCTTTTGTGCCGCGGGGAGGTTTGAGACGATTTATTTTGTTGCGCACCAGCCAGGTGTGGTGTTGGTTGTAGGCGGTTTTGGGACGGCTTGATTTTGTGGCGCAACCCGCCAGGTGTGTTGGTGGCTGTAGGCGTGCCTGTGTGTGGTTTGGGGGCGATTTGTTTTCGTGCCGCAACAGCATGGTGTGTATGTGTGCGCGTCTCTTTCCGGCTGTTGCGTGCGTGTGGTTTGGGACGAAATATTCTGTTCCGCAACAGGACGTTGCCCGTGGAGGGTTGCTGCCATGGTTTTCATGTGTGCTTTGACATGAAAGTTTCCTGTGCCGAAACACAGCCAGGTGTGGGTGTGTGGCTGTCTCCTTGCCGGTGGTCGTGGTGCTGGTCTTGCGGCGTGTTGTGCATGTTATCGCGTTTCGGTGATGCTGTCGCGTGTCGTGCGTGTTTTCGGGAAGATGTTTTTACGGTTACTGCGCAATTCTTTCCTGTCAAATGCACACACACACACACACACACACACACACACACACACACACACACACACA